CGGCGCCCCCTACCGACTATACAAGAGTAAAAACATTCACTACAAAACATAATTTAGAATATTTTTAACATTAGCCGTTACATTATGCGTTTCACTAATTTACAATATACTCTCACTTTTGCTAACGGAATACTTTTAGTATTTGGAAAATTGTAATTTTTTAATAACTATTGTTTGAAAATATATTAAACTAAAGTATATACGACATTTAAACAAAATTAGTAGTTTAATTACAATTTTTAATACTAAAAGTACCCCGATATAAATTGATATTTGGCTAAGCGAGATATTGGCAGATAGAAGCAGTTTGGGTAAAGTCGAGGTACAGGAAAAAGGAATCGCACTTAGGAAAGAATCTCTTGGCACTTTGTCTTACGCTAAATTGTTTGTGACAAGACGAGATTTAAAAAAAAACATCGAAAAGGCGAAGGATTTTAGGAAGATAACGAGCGTACCGAATGTTGGAAAACGTTGTTATTAGAAGTGACGCTAGAGGTACAAGCGAAAAATAAATATTTAGTACTTATATAATTCGTTCTACTTTTACTTTCACATGATATTATAAAATATATATTTAAAAAACGACATGAATTTGAACTTAGTGTTAGTTTTGTGAAGCAGTGTACAGCGGGTCGCTAGTGGGGACGTAGGGGCTACTTCTAATTATACACTTAATGACACAAAAGCGATTCCACTAGACCTTATTGCCACGCTTAAATTATTGCTACAAACATACCGCTTTACTTATATATATTTATTTTAATGTAAATATAATCAATAATCAGTTACAACATCCGATAAAACAAATTATGTAAAAACATTATTGCGATAAACTTCGTCTACAACTGAAAGGGGTTCAGTTCGATCTGTACACGTGCAGTTTGTTAAGTACAGTGCGGAGGCGACACTTAAACACGGACTCCTACCGTACAATCGCATTCACCGAACGATACACGAACAGCGTCCAAACCAAATTGGAGGCTATCCAGTTCTCACTAAGGCACAATTTAAGTTTCCACTTTGAACTTTATTTTAACTATAAAATAAACAAAGTCAATTCCCCTCGCTGATGAGTACTACTTACCCTAGCAAAGTAACCGACGACTGAACAAGCCGCACATTATTGCATTTTATAGAAGGCAATTCGAGTCAATGTCCGTTTTCACTAACAAAGTATCTAATTTCTTATGCAATTTATGCGCGTACAATCGCATATAAAATATGCCATTTCTATCAGACGTTTTAATGAAAACGGTCATTAGTAGCTTATAATTATTAAAGTTCTACTAAAGGCTGCAATTTGCTTGTTTATTAAATATATATTAAAGATAACCTCAAAATACATATTTAACATCGATATATTAAGATTTATATGTAAAAAACATCTTTGGCTTCTCGTTTAGAATATTGTTATTTACGCTTTAATGTGGCGAGCTAAGACCAGAAAGGAACGATTTTATTTCTAAAGAGAGGCAATAAAATTATGATTTTTTATTTAAAACTGAATTTTAAATATACATATTGTAATGAAAATTCTTATATTTTACTATACTTAACATTTTGAAAACTTGCAAAGAAATTTATTATTATATATTATGTTAGCTCGCCACACGCTGTATATTGTTATATTGCTGTTATATTTTATATACCTAACTATCGTATACAAAAAGCGTGTAGTGTCTGCACGTATCGTCACCCATATTTAGATTTTTCCCAACTGTGCAATTGCAAAACTACAGGATGTCACTATTTTAATTCTTTTGTACGGGTTTTCGAAATGACAATTTGTTAAAATACAAAAGCGAGTATTAGTGCTTGTTTTCATTGTTAATTATAATCATAAAGACGATAAAATTAAGATTTGCCTTTGACTTACCATTGGCAAAATCTTTTAAAAGAAAAATAAAAGTTTGAATTACTAATAAGTTGTTTGAGATGAATGCGTGCGGAATTTGAAAGAAAAAAGGAATTTGTATGCGATTAAATCCTTTTTGAAGGTGTAAAAACAGCAACAATTGACAGACGATTTTTTACTACTAATATAAAGCACTATATCAAATTGTTACGTTCTTGGACGTATTTCTCCGCTTTAATGTCACATAACCTCCAAATTGCCACGCTGTTAAAATAAAGTAAAAAGTGAAATAAAAAGGAAAATAAGGAAAATAAAGAACCAAAAATATTCCATACATAAAAATTAATGTATTCTATTATCAATAACGTAGGGTATAGTTACACAAATAATAAAATTAGATGAAAACAAAATTTATACATATTTCTTAACGCGAATATAATAAAAAAACAAATTATACATACTATCAACACAAGATTCTACTTAAAAAAAAGAAAACAGTAATTTTTTTTACAATTTCCTAAAACAACTGCAATCGTTCCGCCGACCAGCGCTCATTGTTCATTGTCTTAAATTATTTGTCAATAAAAAAAATTTGGCGTCGTTTTTAGGGAACTTTTAGATATGAGATTTGACTCGGCTTCGATCCGAGGCCCGTCAGATTGCAAGCGGTGGTGAACGACCACCGTCATTCGGCACTTAATTGACGTAAATAGTGGCAACACACATCACTCCGTCCGTCCATATTGCGAAACAAGGTCACTTAGTTTTGTCAAAGTACAGCCAGCTTCATAAACATGTATGCATTTCCAAATTTTAAAAACTCGTTTACTTCTTTAATTACAAAAATACGTAAATTTATATTGGTCATTAAGACATTTTTATGGTCGGAAGAATACTGACAGATATGCATATTTTTGAAACCGAAAACCTTTGTTTCTAAACTTTGTAAACGTATATATATTTATGGAGCTGACTGTACACAACACACCGAACTCAGCTCAGCCGTAAGCTTAGACAACAAAACAATAATTATACTGACAACGCAAAATTAAGAACTAAGAACGATAACAAAAAGATAAATAAAAGTACATGCATGCGAGTTTTTGTGATGTTAAATTTAATTAAAAAAAATAAATTAAGCCAAAATTATAATAAATTAACATGCCGAAATTAAATAAAATATAACAAAAAAAAATAGCATTAATAAAACAAACGCCATGTATATAAAATTAACATATGGCGTGATGTTTTAAAAATCGAGTTCTCCGACGAAAAAAGTTACAACTACAAAATGTAACTTTATTCGATATTTAGAGGTTAAGTAAACTCGGCGCGTACACGCCATCTCCGTATTATTAAATATTAAACATTTGTGCGAACCGTAAGTACCGTATCCGAGTAATTGTGATGGAGGTTACCTTTTGTGGGTAAAATAAGTCGAAAGCCATCGCTCGAAGTAACGCAGGTAACTAGCTTGGGGTAATGTCGAGGGGTACTAACAACTAGGGACGATCGATATATCGATATAAAAATCGATGCGACAAACATCATCGTCAATCACAAGATATACTAAACTCAATTTGATACATTACTTTTTGATCGAATTGAAAATCGATATCGATACTTAATATCGATCATCCCTACTAACAACTGAACGCTGCAAGCATTAAGAACACTCGCTGTATCGACATATCTGACGAAAAAAGTCACATCTTTGCTATTACAAAGAGGGAAGATTTGTATTGAAATAAATCAAAAACTAATGGGCCGATTTAAACAATTCTTACACCATTAAAAAGCTATGTTATCAGTAAGTAACATAGGCTATATTTTTTTAATTTCACGCGGACGAAGTCCAGTAACAGCTAGTCTTTTAAATAACCATTTTCGTCAAATAAGTCGATAAGTTCGCACGCAACATCGCGGACACACTCGACTCCACACTCATACAATGTCCACTTAACTATAGCTTACATATAAATTAAAATATTAGATTGAAAATTACACATTTCTTACAATTTAATATGTACAAGGCATTTTTCGAACTTTGTATTTCAGAGAAACAGCGGTTATCCGCGGCCCGACCTCAAATTTACGCGTAAATCTAACACCGATAATTAATACGACCCACTCAATGCACCTCGCTTAAAAACTTCCATACAAAAACCTATCTGGCACTAACATGTATATTCATTACAAAATGTATAATATAATTTACAATCACAACATAAATTTGATAAACAACCGAATGTTGCGGCATCATTTTCTATTCCGGTAGTTTTGAAAATGTCTAACGAAATTTCCGAACTTCGCTAACACGGCTAAGAAAGAAACGAACCTAGCATCATACTAAAAATAATATTATTGTCACTTTGAATTATTTTTTAAAAGAATGAGGCGTTTCCTTTCTATTTTCACCCCGAATTACCCGCTGATATGTATATAAAAACATTTATGTTAGTGTTTGCTCGTTAATTGTTCTATGTTCATGATATATTAGGAACAAACGCAGTCGCGACCGAGCGCCAAAACATGTTAAAATCACTGCAAATTACCTTAAACTCCATTCTATTGCAATTTAATCTATGAAATTGTTTTCCTAACATCTTTAAAAATAAAAGATATTTTTACATACACTATTGGGGAGGAAGTTTCCGCAATTAAAAGTAAAAAACCTAATAGCGGAAACCAAGTTAAACGAAAAAAAAATTAAGTTACAAACCAGACTTGAAGTTTTCACTTGTAATATTTCAATTTAAGTATTTATTTCTGATGACAATCTTGATAATATGAAAGCGTAACTTTGCAAACGTTACGAGTTCCAATTGCCGAATGGAAAACATTGTTGTCTCGCTCATCCCGTTTGCGAGAAACAGAGATAGGTTTATTTCCCGACAACGTGAGCTCGCAACACGAAGTCTACTAATGTTCCCAAAGTGATATCAAATTGGCCCACGCGCTCGTTTATATTTAATTATTCTCATACAAATCAATTCGTAACATGATCCCTATGTCGATAGGGGGTAGGAAACTACAAACAAAAACGTACTTAAGATATTTAAAAGAAAACTATCGCCTAGTTTATTTTACACCGGGTCCGCCCGAGCCGAGTCGCTTTGCGATATATTATTTACACTTTGTTACAAATTTACATGAGTTTTTTTTTTGGTCAACGTTTTGGAGAAGAGAACTTAGAAAATAAGATCAAATTGACCTTATATCATTGTTCATTGTTATATACTTATTATTATATTAATACATTTGAAATAAACCAATACTTCGACTGATTTAAGATACCAAGCGCTATGTCAATATCTAGTACATTTACCTTATTCATACGTAACCTCATTTTGTATTCCAACCGGTTTTCATTAAAATTGTCACAAGTTTGTTAAATCCTGAGGTTCACTTTAAAACTGTTTACAAGATTTTTAAAAATACTTCAACAATCGTTCACAAATATATATATTTAAATTATTGCTGTTTATTTGCTTTTAGTATTCCAACCTAATACGATAATATAGACGTTGCCAGCTTAGATTTTAGTTGTGGCGAGGAAACCTCTTTCCCCCGGCGACGTCCATTGTCCATATTTCAATTTATTTGTGAATGCTTGTTACGAAGTCTAAAATACACATAACACATTGTCGTATCAATTTTCCCAAATATTTATAATGCGTTATATCTTCCCATTAATTAAATGCAATCAAATACAATTCTCTGTACCATTCCATTCCAACTACATTCCGTTCGAATCTATACCGAAATCCCAAATAACATAATTTGGGAAAATTTGAAAGCTACGCAACAACACAAATGTATAAAAATATTCAAAAATATACTCTTTTTACACAAAAATCGCATTTCTAAACAAATACTAACATTAATATCATCAAAGTTAAAATCTTTATGCAACTAAATGGTATATATCGTAAGTTGGTGTTACTTCAGGGCAGGGAGAGTACAGTACAGGCTGACCGGGAAAATAAAAAAACTTTGCCCATTAACACTTTTATAGGCAACTATAGACGATATCAGCCGATGGTCTAGGCTAGGCCTCTTATTAGTGGTCTTATTGTCATCTTGTTAGTGGTCTTATGTTTTAGTAGTGGTCTTATGGTCTTCTTATTAATGGTCCTATGTTCTTAATAGTGGTCTTATGGTGTTGTTTTTAGTGGTCTAATGGTTTTATTATAGGGTACATGGTCTTATTCAAACTTTTATTAGTAGTAATTTAGCGATTTTACACTAAATAGTAACATAGATAACACAAAATAATGTAAAAAAATGATTTTAGTCTCTATTTAAGTTGCCATATAAAATTGAAAGGTAAAGTTTATTTATTTTTCTGGTCAGAACTTTACAAGATGTACACGGTTTGAGTTTTTCTCTTATTGCTTGGCCTCTAACAGTAATAGCGTGATGCTAAATACCTCATAACCTTCCTTAATAATTAGGTTATCAAATATAAAAAGATTTTTTCAAATCCGATTGGTAATTTATAATATTACCGCGATCAAACAAACTTCTTTTTATTATATTGAATATATGAAAAATATTGTTAAAAAAATGATTAATTACAGATTGTGATTTTAATAATTGTGATGAATTAGTAATAATGAAAATAAATAATAAATATCACATAAATTCCATATCATTTTAAAATACTCTCAAACCGTGTACGGTCTCTGTACATTATAAAACCCACAATTGGGTCGTTTAAAAATACATCGTGCGATTAAACAATTTTATAAACATGTCCACGGGAAATACCTTGTCTTAGTACAGCTGTGTACTGTTTCATATAACCCGTAATTTCATATATTTATATTATCTTCAAACATGCAAACTCCTGTTTCAAAATTTAATAAAAAAGATATTTTTTTAATAACAGATGTGATATAAATTGTGATGCTTTTAAAAATCGCATGTAAAAGATAACAGAAATACATTGCGTGTTGTGACGTCACGTGCTTAGCACGTCAGTTCGTGTACATCATACACTGGTGGTTTACAACGTGAGGTGATGTGTAGATTGCGTAGTGAGGCGGCGATGTATCGCGCGCGCGGTCACTCGCGCGGCGCGC